AGAGATTCCAAATGCTGCCGTACATGCTCAGTGAATGCACACAAAGAAAATGGGTTCGGGACACCCTGGTCCGGCCAGGACGGGTAGTAGTAGTGAGTGATTATCCTGTCATTCGGCAGGTCCCTCTGAAAAACAAACATGTTATCTGTTCTGCCTATAGAGGGTAATAGGTCAGTGCAAAATTTAAAGGGAGGGGGATAGGCCTCTCTCTAACCTGTCGTAGGTTAATGGTTGTCACAAAATAATCTGGACCCTGTTTCCGAGTCACTGTTGTTATTTGGAAAAGTCCATGATACACTGTCCCTTCTTCCAGCGACCAATACTTATCACACAGGATCTGTACACAGAAGAGACACAGTCACTCATGCAGAACAGAATTGGTAAAATAAAGTACACTTTTATTTTAGTATGATGCTTTTAGTTTAACCTCAACTGCACAAAAACATAAAAGTGCACACTGTGATAAAACAGATGAGGCCAACGTGACTCTATAAGAGTCATGATTTGTTAAGCAAATGCCCCTGATGAACGGATCATCCTCAGTGTTGAAAATCTATAAAAACTAGAGCTTTCGTAGATAGATGGCCTGAAGCAAACAGGTGGAATTTAGCAAAACACAAAGAAAGAAAAGCAGCAGTAATGACCTTAGAGAAAAAAGCTTGCTGAAAACAAATATGACAGGATGTACATTGAGACAATTTAAAGTTTACAAGATAATTCTGGAAACAACAACAAATATCTCTACATGTTCAAGATTACATTCTATACGTTTCAGAGAAAAACTTAAAAATAAAAAAATATGAGGAGCCAACTCCATGTTCTAAAGCAGCGGTGTCAAAATGTTGTGTCAAAATGTTTAACACCTGCTAGTAAGGACTAAAAATTATGTAAGCAAACCATCTTGGGTGTCTGTAATCATGTAATTAGTGTAATGCAGGGGAGTGGCGGCTTGTTGGTTAGGGCATAGAGCTTTGAATCCTGAGGTTCTGAGTTCGAGCCCCACTCCCACTGACTGCCACTCGGGGTCTCTGAGCAAGACCCTTAACCCCACACTGCTCACCGGGAGCCCCATGGTGGCAGCCCACTGCTCTCAAAGGGGATGTTTTAAATTCAGAGATAAATTTCTCCAATGTGAGACCCGTAAAGTTCAATTATAATGTATAATATACTGCATATAGGGCTGCAGGTAGTCACTTTGCTGTTTGGTGACATGGTGTGTACCACACTCAACATGGACCAGGAGACTTAAAGTTCAGTTGTCTCAGGAGATTAGAAGAAAATACAGACAACATGTTAAATGTAAAAGCTATAAGACCATTTCCCAGCAGCTCAATACTTCTTTGACAACAGCTGCACATATGACTAGAAATGTATTTGTGACGCTGTAGCCAACCTCCCTGGATGTGACAGCAGGAGGAAAGACATGATATGAATGGTAACAAAAGAGCCCTAAAAGACTTCTGAAAAGCTTGAAGGTGAACTTTAAGCTCAAGGAACATCAATGTCACACCATCATTGTTTGAACCACAGTGGACTTAATGGGAGAGGACCAAGGAGGACACCATTATGGAAAACAAATGATAACAGAGCCATGAATTTTCTATCTGCTGACAAGGCAGACAGCTTCTGGAAGAATGTGCTATGGACAGATGAGAAAAAAACTAAACTTTTTGTTAATGTTGAAGGTGATACCACAAGCTACTGAAAAATTTGACTTTTTTTTTTTTAAATAATGAAGTGAGATTATAATAAGAAGAACCTGAGAATCACCGGATCAGTTTTTTCATTTTCTGATTTGTAATATTTGAAATGCTGAAAGAGGTTCACTTTCTTTTCTCATCATTAAAATTTGATTGACTTTATAGATAAAAAAACAAATAATAATAAAAAAAAAGTATTAATTAAAAGATTTAAAGTATTTTTGACCAGAAGCTTTTCTCTGTGGCACCTTCGTGGTTGCACTATTGCCACATAATACACATAATAGTGCAACTTGTTAATGTGTGCTGTATGGTTGGATAGAGTTAGGACAGAGCCAGGCAACTGAAAACAAAAACAAGTGTTTTGTGAGGTTTTGCAATCTGTTGAAAGGACCTAATTAGACCCTATGCATAATATAATCCCCACAAGGGATATTTTTCAGCTTAAGCCTTTGCTAGAATAACTGGAGTTATTTTTTTTCTTCAAAATCATAATGAAGTCTTGTTCCCTACTTCTGTAACTGAATTTGGGGAAAGCTATGATAAGCTGCTAGTACGTCTCTTAGGTGAAAAAAAAAAAAGATTAAATAAAGAAAAACAGAAAAAATCAAATGAGAATCTCACTGTGCTCTTTTGTCTCAGAGCGGTCACCATGACGATTATCCTGACGTTTTGCTCCCACACCATCCTCCAGAAGTCTGCTACAGTGTTGGGCAAAGGACCCTGGGTGCAGATAAAGTCTCTCTCTGATCCTCCGCCCTAAATGCAGAAAAAAAAAGGTCACAGGGAGGCTAAGACGGTGGGAAAAGTGACACACGCTAGGAGTATGAGTGAGCTCTCTTACAGGGACAAAACTGGCATTGATGTAATCAGAATTTGGGTTCTGGTTTTGAACTGACAGCCTCACACGACAGTGATCATCTGCAATTAGATTGAATAAAATGAAGATCTCAAACTTGTCCAGATATACTCATGGTAATCAGCAGCAACACAAGAAGAGGTTCACTTACATGGCAAAATGTGAGGGTATCTGTTTTTTTCTCTATTGGCCTCCAAGCCCCCTGCTCTGTTGGGGAGGTCTTTCCCAACATCATTCAGCTCCTGCTGAGAATCAGAGGAATAAAAACACATTATAAACACTTTACCCTTGATAAAAACTCTGTTTATGCTTGTAGTCGTTACCCCAAACTCCTGTTTAAAGCCTCTGTTGTTATTGGCAGCCAGTTTGTTGCACTGAGAATTCAACTCTTGAAGAATCTGTGATCTTGAGAAAGTCTCCATCCTTCAACACATCATTTGATAAAATTCAACTTTATATTATGACAAATATTTTTTTCTTCAGTTAAATGTAAGGACCAAAAACTAAAATTCATTCATCTAATATTACAATCACAATACATTTATTTTCCCTAAAAACACAGTTTACAGTTACAGTTGATTTGTGGCTAAATTACATTACTAACATTGTTTTGTGTAACAATAAAAGATATTTGTTCAATGCTTGACATGAAACATACAGTTTTAAATTCAAAAATAACCCCAAACCTCATATTTCAAGCAATCTTTTAAATGCCAATGAAATTGCTGTAAAGCTTACCTCATGTTTTGTTTTTCCTGAAGACAATCCTGTCCTTTAGGAATCAACTCAGTGGGGACAGTCTAAAGCTGTGGTCATGACGTCAGTGCTGATCATGCAAAGAATCCTGACATATGAAACGAAAAGAGTAAACACTAAAGTTTAAGATTACCAATTGTTTTAGCTACAAATCAGGAGTACAGTCAACTTCTAATCTTTTATTTTTCTGTTTTAAAATGAGTAATCCAAGGCAAACATCTCCTTCAGGGGACCCATTAGGACAGAGAGGTTTTTTAGGGAGGAGCAAATCCAAATATTCACAAAGAACAATTATCAGCCCACTCACCTGACAAGAAAGAAAACCTGTTGGTCGAGTTTCTAACACTGTGAGTGTGGCATGTCTGCTTCAGACCTGTCGTTTCAAGGCCCAAAACAATCGACTAAAGTTCTCGACAGGACTAGAAGCTCGATCTGAGCTCTCCACTCTCCACAGGTTGTCTTAGGGTTGCCAGGTTGTGTTAAGGCTTTCTGAAGCTGTCTCATGGCAATTTGAAATGACACATGGGTGGGGAAGGTGGGCGGGGAAGGTGCATAAGACATCAGGGGAGGGACGAAGCGTGAGAAACCCTCAGCTATTATTTCCTCTTGTAAAGTCAACCCTTTCTTTTTAACAGAATGTTCTAATCAGTTCTTGGAAATCTCTAGAGATCGGTGTCCTCTTTTCTAGACAATTTGTAAAGAATATGCATATATATATATATATATATATATATATATATATATATATATATATATATATATATATATGTCACAGTAAAAACAATCATTACAGATACAATCTTATACTGTTGCACATAAGAACTAACAAAAAACATAGTAGAACATGCCTGTGTCATGATGCTGCCATCACCGTGTCGGACTGCACAGTAAATGTAGGATGATGCTTTCATCTAAACCTTTAGAGAGACTAACCATATATTTTTACAGCTACAGTTTGCATTGATATCAGGGTTTAGCAGTATTATTACTTCATAGATCGTAACTATTTCTTATTAGGTTTAAGCAGCATGTTGCTTATTACAAAACTTGGCAACGATTTTAACTATTTAAAAATGTGTATTTCATCAGCTTATCTTTTTCTTAAATTCTCGATCAATAACAACAAATAAAAACCAGGAATGTAATAGGCTAAATAATTTAAAAGGACAAATACTACTTATGTATTTTTAGCTGATATTCGTTCTTACAACCGGGCTCATAAGGTTGGGTAAAAAAATAAACATACCTGTCTTAGTGGACAGTTTGTTTTTTTTACTCCTTTTTATGAAACTAAACTCAAGGACTAAGTTAAACGTGGATGATAGAAGTTTAAATAGACTAGAAACATTTGGTTCCCATTCAACACCTGACACCTGGACACTCCCACCTTACTCAGCATGTCAGAACAGGTTTGGTCCAAACAGCCTACAAATAGAACTAAAGTGTGACTGCATCATGCTGTGCTATACAAAATAAAATCATGATAATAGAGCTTGTTTCTATAGAGGATCTTTATTTGTGGTATAAATAGCTACATTTACCTCATTGTTATAAAGTACAACTGCTGTGCTGGGAATGTATTCTCAGGAGTTGGTATAGAAAACACAAACAGGTTGGACAACATTTGAAACCCTTATTCTCGGCTTCCATGTCAGGCTGTGACAAAAAAAAAAGAAATCAAGTCAATCAGCATGCTGATGGTGCTGGGCATGGTGGCGTGCGTTTCTTCTTTCGGTTTTGATAAGCTCCTATCGCAGCCGCCTGGCTCTGATTGGGCAGCAGCGGAGAAAGAAGGAAGTGAGAAGCGTCGAGTTATTTTCCTGCGCTTTAAACCGTAGAAAAAGCGAAACACGAGACAATCCTGGAAGCTCTGGCAGGTTTATGCAGATATAAACACTGTGAGGCGAGCGGCAGGGAGAGACCGAAAAGTTTGACTGTTGCAATGGATTAAAGTGAAAGGGCACACTTTCTTTCTTCCTGCTCGGCTCGACTCCAGGAAACCTACAGATTTTATTCCGACTTTTTAATGAAGATTAAACTATGAGCCGCGAGCGAGCAGGCATGGATCATGCAAGAGCGCCAGTCACACAGGAAAGAAAGGTAAATGTGTAATATGCGGTAATTAGAGATTAAATTACAGGTTTGTTGGATGTAAACGGAACGACTATGTGTTCATTGGCTTAGTTTCATTATTTGAAATCTGTCTTATAATAAACAGAGTGGTTCATTGAATTGACAGTTCAGGTCATGACAGAAAAAAAACTATGGGGGGCTTATGCTGTCCAGGACACGAAACACATGGTGTTAATGGGCACAAGAGGGCGCTAATGAGTCTCACACGCATCCGTAATGAAAGTGAAACGATTTAGTGATTTTAAAAGGCTTATAAATCTATGGGGTGCCGTTTGTGAAGAAAAGCAGTAAAAAATTAGAAGCAATATTTATGGTTGTTTAGCGCGTTTTAAGAAAAAAATAACCAGGATATTTTCTTGAAAGTAATTTTTTTTTCACTATGTCATTTATAAAAAGTCTTACTTTGTTAAATAAATATTTTGTTTAGAAATTAAATATTTATTATTTAAATTAATATTTAGCTCCAAACTAAATATTTATTTTTTTCTAATAAATGTTTAGCTTCAAATTAAATATTTAGTTTGTTAAATAAATATTAAGCTCCAAAATATTTAGTTTTTTAAATAAATATTTAGCTTCAAATTAAATATTTAGTTTGTTAAATAAATATTTAGCTCCAAAATAAATATTTAGTTTGTTAAATAAATATTAAGCTCCAAAATATTTAGTTTTTTAAATAAATATTTAGCTTCAAATTAAATATTTAGTTTGTTAAATAAATATTTAGCTCCAAAATAAATATTTAGTTTGTTAAATAAATATTTAGCTTCAAATTTAATATTTAGTTTGTTAAATATTTAGTTCCAAAATACATATTTAGTTTGTTAAATGAATATTAAGCTTCAAATTTAATATTTAGTTTGTTAAATAAATATTTAGTTCCAAAAAAACATTTAGTTTGCAAATTAAATATTTAGTTTTTTTTTAAATAAATATTTAGCTCCAAACTGAATATGTAGTTTGTTAAATATTTAGGGTGTAAAGCAATAATCAGTTCATAACACAATAAAATACAAATTCAAATTCATAATGTTGGTAGGGTAAAAAGACAATGCTTGGCCAAGAAGTGTTTCTTATTTAATTTTCACAGCGTGTGCAACTCTGCTTGCTTGTGTGGCTTTTATGGGATGGCACTGCATTAAACAAGCATTTAGTTTATTGCGGAGGTCTTCAACAGGGGGTCCGCTACCCCTAGGGGGTCCACTGAGGTACTGCATGGGGGTCGCAAAAGTTTTGGTTGATTAGACCTTTTTTTATATCCCCTCCTGCAATTTTTTCTATTAATTGAAATGTCTTTAAATATACATTAACATAAATTGAACACACCATAGTAAACAGATAAATGGTAGAAGATGTCTTTCAGTCATCAATGCGCACATTCAGCGCACATTCAGCGACACACAGACACTCTTTTAAGCTGGGCACCGTTTCATTCACAACACATGTCCCATCAACCAGGAATAGAATCAGTAATGTTTCAATTATTCCAGGATGAAATTACTTTTGTTACAGTACTCCATATGTAATAGAGTGCCTATGGCACCAGTTTGATATAACACAATTTCATACATTATACATAATAAGGGGGTTCCTGCTCCATCTCGCCATTAGTTTTGGGGTGCTTGGCCTGGAAAACGTTGAAGACCCCTGGTTAATTGGATGAAATCACATACTGGTGCAACAATGCTGCTGCAGTGCCTGTTCCTAGTCTATTCCATTTTTTCTTCTGCTTGTTTTTCACCCTTTAGTGTTTCAGAAAATCTAACAAATGTTAACATTCAAAAGGAAATCACAAGTGAACAAAAATGGTTTAAATGAAAGCTTACATTTTTTATATAACAAAGGGACTTGGCAAAAATGGCCTGCATGACGAAAACCACTGCCGTGCAAATTTAACATTAAGACTTGTCCTAATATCTTAGTGATCCCCAAGACTGTTGCTATGGTCTATGGACCATCAAGACAAAAGGTTTGTGTCTCATTTATATTTACAGGCATTAAATACAGTAGTAGCGAGGCGATTGTGGGGCTGTTTGCTGCTACAGGACCTGGAAGACTTGCTTTGATAAATGAAACCATGATACCTTAAAATCCTGAAGGAGAACATCTTATCATCTTTTTGTAAATTTAACCTGAAACAAACCTGGGTTCTGTAGCAGGACACTGGTCCAAATAACACTAGAAAGTCCACCTATAAATGGCTGAAGGAAAAACAAAATAAATACTTTGAATTGGCCTAGTCAAAGCCCTGAGCCGATTCCTGTTAAGATACTGTACCATGAAATTAAAAAGGCCATTACTGCTGAAACCATTTAGTGTGAGGAGCAGGTCACCATATATCCACAGCAAGTTATCACACATTGATTGCAATTGTTGCTGCTGGGTCAAACACCTGTTAAGGGTAGGCGACAAATGGTTTTTTTTCTTTCTTAATGATTAAAACTTTAAATAAAAACTGTGTTTAGGCTACCCGTAATATATCTACATTTGCTTCATATGCATACAGCTTTTCAACAGTGACTGAGCAGCTTAGTAGTTAAATGAATATTTCAATTTATAAAGTGCAGCAGTGATGAAAATGCAAGCAGTGAGGGAGAGACATGATGCAAAAGGCATTGATGTGGAAGGTTCAGATTAGTGCAAAAATAAATAGATAAATATGCTGCAAAATGCGGTAGAAACAATGAGTTGAATGTTATTTAAAGGGATTTGAAAACACTTAAGTGTAAAAGACATAAACAAAAATGAAATCAGGAAGGCGGCAAACACTTTTTTACATCACTTTTTATTTTGAATCCTTGCCAGTGTTTTATTGTTAGTTCTTTCATGTGCAGTGTTTTCTCACTAATTTGCACAATTGTTTCCTCAGTTTCTCGACACTTGTAATCTTATCTCATCAGCTGTGATATTATTTTTTTAATTGTTCAAGAAGCTCAATAACTTAGTGATTTAAAGTATTTTGCTACATTAAAAGTGTTCGTAAATAAAGTTAGATTTGGATTGAGCTGAACTATATTTAATTAGTTTAATATTTTAATGATTCATGAAAATGAGCTGGGGTGTAATAAGCTGGGCTGCATGATGGTGTCATTGGTAGTAATGGTGCAAGTGTTGCCATGATCCTTAATGTAGAAAGCAAAGGGATAGATTATGGCTTGGGGATAATCAGTTTGATTGATTAATTATATTTTCTGTTTATCAAGATCTATTTTTGGAAAATCAGATGTTTTTTTTTTTTTTTTCCACCAGTCTACTCGTTGGGCTTCAATATCTCAGAGTGGCATTGGTTCAACACTTCTTGCTCTTACAGTGTGATAAACTAGCTCACTGTGTAACGGGGTGTCCCCATCTGAGATATAAGGCGTATATGTGTCCGATATTTGCCAAAAAACTAATGTCAGATTATATCGGCTAGAGTCTAAAATCTCCAATTGTCAGGCTGATAGAAACACTCTGCTTCTGATTAAAGTTTGTTTTACTCATAGGTTAAAGAGACAAGTTTTTACTTAAAAATATCTTTAAATTAGCCTTTTTATTTCACCATTTATGACTAAAGAATTGTTTGAGGAGCAGACTGACACTTCGGTATTTCAACGCCAATGCATCCATAAGCCTGCAGCCTATTTTCCTGAGTTGTTTTTATTTCGTTAAATTGATATTACTTTAAACTGACAAAATGTAGCTGCTTTTCTTTATTATTAAAAATATATTTTTCCTGCTTTCACTGGCCACTTTATATGGAGGACCAGCTCTACCATATTTAAAAGTAAATGCAGAAATAAATAAACGCACAATAAATAAATAAGCATAATTGCCCCCCAAAACACATTAAACAAGTAAATGTAGGTAGAAATGAAATCATACAGTGAGACATAAATCTATATATCTCTTTTAATTAGCTTCTTTATTTATCGCCTTTCTAATAATTACCTTTAAATCGCTTATATCTCCCTAATTTCTTATTCTTTTGCTCTTTTTGAGTCACCTTTTCTGCTCTAGATGCTTAAATGCTCTGAGGTTTAGCTACATAATTGGCTAAATGACTGTTTTTGTTAAACAATTGGAGGAGTTCCCATTACAGTGGAGATGTAACCTTTGATTTATGTTGCCTTATTTAAATTTCTCAGAATGAACTTTCAGTGTCTCCACTCACTGGTGAAGTTCCTACTGATGTGTTTCTAGTTTAATTAAAAGTGTTGGTGTATTTTTTATTTTTTTCCTGGTACAATTACATTTATAGATGTTTAAAAAAACAAAAAACTTGTCAGTTTATTTTCCTGTGATCTATGTCGTAACAATATTTTTACAACTTAAAGAGATGACCTAAACTGTTACATAAGTAAGACAATAAACAGATTTATGAAACGGGCTCTCATCAACATAACCTTTGAACATTATTTGAATCTGGTATCAACAAATCTGTTCATTAAATTAGCTTGTTAGATTTTTACTCTGTGAAGACTTTTTTTTTTCTTTTTACATGTTGTTGAATTAGTTGATCTGAAATAAATATG